GGTATATGGGGTGTAGGTATATGGGGTGTAGGTATATGGGGTGTAGGTATATGGGGTGTAGGTATATGGGGTGTAGGTATATGGGATGTAGGTATATGGGGTGCAGGTATATGGGGTGTAGGTATATGGGGTATAGGTATATGGGGTGTAGGTATATGGGGTGTAAGTATATGGGGTGTAGGTATATGGGGTGTAGGTATATGGGGTGTAGGTATATGGGGTGTATGTATATGGGGTGTAGGTGTATGGGGTGTAGGTGTATGGGGTGTAGGTGTATGGGGTGTAGGTGTATGGGGTGTAAGTATATGGGGTGTAGGTGTATGGGGTGTAGGTGTATGGGGTGTAAGTATATGGGGTGTAGGTGTATGGGGTGTAGGTGTATGGGGTGTAGGTGTATGGGGTGTAGGTGTATGGGGTGTAAGTATATGGGGTGTAGGTGTATGGGGTGTAGGTGTATGGGGTGTAAGTATATGGGGTGTAGGTGTATGGGGTGTAGGTGTATGGGGTGTAAGTATATGGGGTGTAGGTGTATGGGGTGTAGGTGTATGGGGTGTAGGTATATGGGGTGTAGGTGTATGGGGTGTAGGTGTAGGGGGTGTAGGTGTATGGGGTGTAAGTATATGGGGTGTAGGTATATGGTGTGTAGGTATATGGGGTGTAAGTATATGGGGTGTAGGTATATGGGGTGTGTGTATATGGGGTGTAGGTATATGGGGTGTAGGTATATGGTGTGTAGGTATATGGGGTGTAAGTATATGGGGTGTAGGTATATGGGGTGTGTGTATATGGGGTGTAGGTATATGGGGTGTAGGTATATCGGGTGTAGGTATATGGTGTGTAGGTATATGGGGTGTAAGTATATGGGGTGTAGGTATATGGGGTGTGTGTATATGGGGTGTAGGTATATGGGGTGTAGGTATATGGGGTGTAGGTATATTGGGATGAGTGGGGAGGTTGTTGATGGGGTGTATGTGTATCAGGGTGGGTGGAGGTGGTTGTTGATAACTCCATGTTTTCACAGACGAGCGTCAACAGTTTCCGAGTTGCTTACGTTTCTGCTGACCACTAATTAGCTGTGGCTAATTCATTATTAGGTTAATTAACAAGTGTCACGATGACATCACTCATTATGTGGCAGACAGCTAGTATCCCATTTGTGACAGCTAGTATCCCATTTGGGACAGACAGCTAGTATCCCAATCACCGCAAGCAACTTTTCCAATTCATTTCCGCAAAGCAAAAATATACTTATGGTTGCTATTACAAACTAATCCAAAAAGAAAGCTCTTATGCATGACCAAAACATTTAAATCTAATGGAAAAGTTTTAAAAATTATTTTCAAAGAAATCAAGAAAAAAAAAACTATATCGTCGTCATGTGTCTTGGAAGAATCCCCCCCCCCCCCACAAGGCGGATTAGAAGAAGCGTAAAGCTCCAATGGTGAGCTACAAAGGTGAATGTCATTCGACAGGAACACCCCCTGCGCGTCACACTTCCGTTACTCTAGCCGACACTACGCATGCGCCGACTCAAGCTGAAGAGACAACTTGTAACTGTGACGTGGACAGGATGAAGATGTCATAGACATACTGTGACGCCATCATTCGGAACCAGACTCCATACAACATCTGGCGAGTCCAGAGATCATACTGGAAGACAGAAAACATTTTTGTCGGGAGACATTTTGTCGGGGACATTTTGCCGGAAGTCGCCAGACTTCGGGGTAGCTGGGACGAAAATGTATGAGCTAATAATAGCACGTTCTTTTAAACCTGACGGTCCATGGGGCAAGTGAAGTAGAGTTCACCTATTCCCAACGTAATAGGTGAAATAGGGCTAATCGGGCTAACCATAGGGGGGCAAATAGTGATAAAGAAAACTGGGGGTTATGGTAATAAAATTTGTATGTGCTAAATATATGGGATAATTGAAGTACTGTAAGTGGGTCTAAATGCCCGAAAGACTAGTCCGGTTACCTTTTTACGAATGGACGTTTGCACGAATTCAACACATGTCCAAACGGCCAAAAGTCTAAACCAGCTTTTGTTACATTAAGTCAAACGGCACTCGGCCGAGTGATAGTATCAACTTCTTGTGTCCAAAGGTCTACAAACATGACCAACTTGGAGTACCATACACCCACTAGGAAAGTGAAAGATAAAACCTCAAACATTTCTTGAAATACAACCAACTTGGAGCATCATACACCCAGTAGGAAAGTGAAAGATATTACACCAGTAACAAAGGTTTAAACTATTTTTTTTTATTAGTGCATACTTAGTAGAGGATTTTCATGCTTTCAAATAATGGTGTATATTAAAAAAGTAATTAATGCATACATAATTTAATGCATAGTAAATTATTTTTATTAGAAAAGCAACAATCATAAATAGTGTTTTGAGTTGGTAGTCCAAGCTCATTGGGGGGGGGGGCATATAATAAAAATAATGCGTACAATATATGACTAGCAAATTGTCTAAAAATGTGTGCAATAGTTTGTGTATTATTTAAAAATAAACCTAAACGAACACAATGTTACCATTAAAACACGAATCAATGCCATAAACCAGATAATGCCTTTATCACCTGATGTTACATTTGAATTGTTCTCTAGCTATAGATATGGTGGTACTTGATAAAAGGTAAACTATAGCTCGGCTTATGAAGATGCCATGATAATTGTGGCCACGTATCCCAGAATGGCCCGGTACTCTCAAGATGGCCCGGTACTCTCAAGATGGCCAAGGTGAATGTAGCCCTAGCTAACCTTCTGGCGGCCTTAACCGGAAATTTCCGTGCAGCAATGTGGTGAATGTAGCCCTAGCTATAATCTTTTTGTGTCCTCCATAAAAATTTTAACCGGAAATTTCCGTGCAGCAGTGTTGGGAATGTAGCCCTAGCTAATAATCTTCTTGTGTCCTCCATAAAAAATTTAACCGGAAATTTCCGTGCAGCAGTGTCCTGAATGTAGCGCTAGCAAGCCGTCTGGTGTCCTCTATAACAATTTTAACCGGAAATTTCCGTGCAGCAGTGTGGTGCATGTAGCCCTAGCTAGCCTTCTGGTGTCCTCAATAAAAATTTTAACCGGAAATTTCCGTGCAGCAGTGTGGTGCATGTAGCCCTAGCTAGCCTTCCGGTGACTGCCCTGGAAAGAGTCCATCATTCTGTTGGCGCCAAAGAACTCGTAGATCAGGTACTGACATTTGACTGGCAAGATTCTGGAATAAAATAACTCGTAGATCAGGTACTGACATTTGACTGGCAAGATTCTGGAATAAAATAACTCGTAGATCAGGTACTGACATTTGACTGGCAAGATTCTGGAATAAAATAACTCGTAGATCAGGTACTGACATTTGACTGGCAAGATTCTGGAATAAAATAACTCGTAGATCAGGTACTGACATTTGACTGGCAAGATTCTGGAATAAAATAACTCGTAGATCAGGTACTGACATTTGACTGGCAAGATTCTAGAATAAAATAACTCGTAGATCAGGTACTGACATTTGACTGGCAAGATTCTGGAATAAAATAACTCGTAGATCAGGTACTGACATTTGACTGGCAAGATTCTGGAATAAAATAACTCGTAGATCAGGTACTGACATTTGACTGGCAAGATTCTGGAATAAAATAACTCGTAGATCAGGTACTGACATTTGACTGGCAAGATTCTGGAATAAAATAACTCGTAGATCAGGTACTGACATTTGACTGGCAAGATTCTGGAATAAAATAACTCGTAGATCAGGTACTGACATTTGACTGGCAAGATTCTGGAATAAAATAACTTGTAGATCAGGTACTGACATTTGACCGGCAAGATTCTGGAATAAAATATTTTTAGGTTTTTGCTCGAGTTTACTAGGCGTACATGTACTTATGGATAGGTCGGGGTAGGGGGCGGGTAAGTGGAGATGGGATGTTTGTTTTTAGACCTGACGTATCCTATTAGACAGACTTGTTGTCGACTGGATCAGATGACTTTAAATGGCCCACTGCAGGGAGTCATGTCATTTAGTTCTCTATATCCGATTGTGTGATAAAACGATGAACTGCACAACATCAACACACTATGGTATGGAGCACACTCACAGCATCAACACACAATGGTATGGAGCACACTCACAGCATCAACACACAATGGTATGGAACACACTCAAACTGTTGCATATGTAACGTGTACACAGTAGTGTTCACACAAGGTTCACCCCATACACACCATTCACTCCCATACACACCGTCCCACTCGCACCTTCCACCCCCACAAACCATCCCACCCCCCCCCCCCCCCCCCCCCACACACCGTCCCACTCCCTCACACACCGTCCCACTCCCTGACACACCGCCCCACCCCACAGACCTTACCATCCTCACTCCCACTCCCACACACCGTCCACCCCCACTCCCACACCCTCACACAGAGCCACTCACGCCTTAGCCAGGACCATGACGTAGATGAGGCGTGGCAAACACACCAGTTCCTGGTCACGTAAGATGGCGGACGTGATCTTGTCAGCCACGTACTGCGGTTCCAGGGCGTCCATCAGGGCGGGGAACCTGTTCAAAGGAACAACACTCAGGTCAAAATGTCAACTATTGGGAACCTGTTCAAATGACAACACTCAGGTCAAAATGTCAACTATTGGGAACCTGTTCAAAGGAACAACACTCAGGTCAAAATGTCAACTATTAAATTAATAATGTAAGAATCAGGTTAAGAATATAGTTGGCATTAACATTTACTAGTTGTATTGGTTTGTAGATAACTACCAAATATTTAACAATTTTTTAATGAAGATATTATCAAGGTGGTAGTATGGGACCGTGGTTTCGAAAATCTTTGGCAAATTTAAAACTACAATTGCATTGCAATTATCTTTAAAACATGACTTACCTACAATCACACAACGTTAAACAATATATAACACGAATTTCTTAACACATTAAAATTAAAAGAATAGTAATTTGCCTCATATAACAATTAAACAAGAGCTACCTCGCCTTATATGGAAATTAAAGCAAGAGTTATCTCGCCTCATACAACATTAAAACAAGAGTTATCTCGCCTCATACAACATTAAAACAAGAGTTATCTCGCCTCATACAACATTAAAACAAGAGTTATCTCGCCTCACAATTAAACAAGAGTTACCTCGCCTTGTATAAAAATTAAACAATTGTTACCTCGCCTTGCAGCCCTGAAACATGCCGGTGTTGATGAGGTAGGGGCAGACAAGCGTCGTGCTGACGCCATGTTTGCCCAAGGTCCCGAGTTCGAGTCTCAGAGACTCCACAAACCCAATGGAGGCAAACTTTGAGGCACAGTAATCGGCCATTCCTAGATGGTGAGTTGGTGGGATGGTGAGATGGTAAGATGGTGGGATGGTGAGATGGTGAGATGGTGGGATGGTGAGATGGTGAGATGGTGGGATGGTGAGATGGTGAGATGGTGAGATGGTGAGATGGTGAGATGGTCAGATGGTGAGATGGTGAGATGGTGAGATGGTGAGATGGTGAGGTGGTCAGATGTTCAGATGGTAAGATGGTCACATGGTGAGATGGTGAGATGGTGTGATGGTGAGATGGTGAGATGGTGGGATGGTGAGATGGTGAGATGGTGGGATGGTGAGATGGTGAGATGGTGGGATGGTGGGATGGTGAGATGGTAAGATGGTGGGATGGTGGGATGGAGAGATGGTGAGATGGTGAGATGGTGAGATGGTGAGACGGTGGGATGGTGAGATGGTGAGATGGTGGGATGGTGGGATGGTGAGATGGTGTGATGGTGAGATGGTGAGATGGTGAGATGGTGAGATGGTGGGATGGTGGGATGGTGAGATGGTAAGATGGTGGGATGGTGGGTTGGAGAGATGGTGAGATGGTCAGATGGTGGGATGGTGAGATGGTGAGATGGTAAGATGGTGAGGTGGGGAGATGGTGAGATGGTGACATTATGAGATGGTGAGATGGTGAGATGGTGAGGTGGGGAGATGGTGGGATGGTGGGATGGTGAGGTGGTGAGATGGTGAGGTGGTGACATTATGAGATGGTGAGATGGTGAGATGGTGAGGTGGGGAGATGGTGGGATGGTGGGATGGTGAGGTGGTGAGATGGTGAGGTGGGGAGATGGTGAGGTGGTGAGATGGTGAGATGGTGGGATGGTGAGATGGTGGGATGGTGGGATGGTGAGGTGGTGAGATGGTGAGATGGTGGGATGGTGGGATGGTGAGGTGGTGAGATGGTGAGGTGGGGAGATGGTGAGATGGTGACATTATGAGATGGTGAGATGGTGAGATGGTGAGGTGGGGAGATGGTGGGATGGTGGGATGGTGAGGTGGTGAGATGGTGAGGTGGGGAGATGGTGAGGTGGTGAGGTGGTGAGATGGTGAGATGGTGAGATGGTCAGATGGTGGGATGGTGAGATGGTGAGATGGTCACTTGGAGAGATGATGAGATGGTAAGATGGTGGGATGGTGAGATGGTAAGATGGTGGGATGGTCAGATGGTCAGATGGTCAAAGAATCATTGCTTCAATCAACATACGATTGACGGGTAGCTGCTACAGGAGTCGGTTCAAAGTACAAGTATGGGGTGGTAAAGGTGAGTGATTCATGAGGTCGGGGGGTGGGGGGGTCGGTATAGAGGGGGACGTTGGGGGTGGGGTCTTTGGGGGGGGGGGGGATCGTGAAGTCATGAGTGAGGGGTGGGTGAGGTCGGGGATCGGGGGTCGTGAAGTCAAGAGTGAGGAATGGTTGAGTTCGGGGGGTAGGGGTGGTGTTGGGGGATCGTGAGGTTAGAATGGGGTGGTGAGATGGGGGGAGGGAGTCGTGAAGAGGGTGGGAAGGGGGGGGTCGGTGTTGGGGGGGGGTCGTAAAGACGGGGTCATGGGGGGGGAGGGAGTCGTGAGGTCGAGGGTGGGGTTGGGGGGGTGGGGACAAAACAAACAGTTACAGACAGCCGCAGCGGATAACGGGGTAGACGTCTCCTAAAGTTTAATTAATCCTGTCTTAATTTATGCAAAGTGCGGGCAAGTGTTGATTAGATTACGTCACCAGCGTGCCAGTCTGTTAATGCGATGAATTAAGTTTTCTTATTAAAACATAACAGGCAGAATTGTTAGAATCTCGAGACGATAGACGTACAGACGTATGGTCGTATGACGTAGGGAGGTACGACGTGGAGGCGTATGACGTAGGGACGTATGACATAGGGACGTATGACGTAGGGACGTATGACATAGGGACGCAGGACATAGGGACGTATGGCGTAGGGACGTATGACATAGGGACGTATGGCGTAGGGACGTATGACGTAGAGACGTATGACATAGGGACGCAGGACGTAAAGACGTACACCAAAACAGTAAGCTGTGTGTATTAGTCCTTGATTAGACAAGATGGTTTAAATGTGGCGTGTTAACTGACCTGACTCACCTGACACCCCACCCCTAGACTCACCTGACCCCCCCACCCCTAGACTCACCTGATCCCCCACCCCTAGACTCACCTGACACCCCCAACCCTAGACTCACCTGACCCCCACCCCTAGACTCACCTGACACCCCCAACCCTAGACTCACCTGACCCCCCACCCCTAGACTCACCTGACCCCCCACCCCTAGACTCACCTGACCCCCCACCCCTAGACTCACCTGACACCCCCAACCCTAGACTCACCTGACCCCCCACCCCTAGACTCACCTGACCCCCCACCCCTAGACTCACCTGAAACTCCCATGAGACCAGCCGAGCTTGCCACTGTCACAATGTGGCCTGAGTTTCTCTGCATCATGCCAGGAAGGACGGCTTTACACGTCTGCTCTCATGTAAGACAAACAAAAATCTGTCACACATGACGTCATATCCGGCATGACGTAACTTACCCTCATGCCATAAGGACCCAACAATATGGCCAAAACGGCCTAACAACAGATCTAGACCAGGGGTCTCCAAACTTTTCAGTCCGAGGGCCGCATTAACTATCAAATTTCACTTCGGGGGCCAGTTTCTTCCAAGCATGTCTTTGATTTTTCTGGGCAAAGTTCCACAGCAATCAGCGACAAACGATTTTTCCTTGGACAAAAAGATCTCCGCGGGCCGGATGAGAGGAATTCGCGGGCCGCATCCGGCCCGCGGGCCGTAGTTTGGAGACCCCTGATCTAGACAACTAAAACAATAGCCCAGCCACAATGGATCGATGTTAATTAGCACATCACAAGACCAATCACCCCCTAACACAATTTTGTGAAAATTTTTGTTCACAGTTGAACAAGTCTGACGTGATGAACAAGGCGGATGTGACGTCACGCACGCGCGGTTTTTACATCCCTGGGACAAGTCTGTCTGATGTTCGGGGTCATGGGGGGGGGGGGGGGGGGGCATCTTCTCGGGACTCAAAGGTCATCGCCCACCAACACCACCCCTTTCTGTAATGGCGGTCTAATTTTGTGACGAGCAACAGCTTTTATTAACATTAAGAAATTACACGAAATAATAAGTTAATTAAGTCTTAATTACCCAGTATAAATATTAGTTATTTAACAGTCTTAATTACCCAGTATAAATATTAGTTATTTAACAGTATTAATTAACCAGTATAAATAATAAGTTAATTTAGAGTCTTAATTGCCCATTATAAACAATAGGTTAATCAACAGTCTTAATTACCCAGTATAAATATTAGTTATTTAACAGTATTAATTAACCAGTATAAATAATAAGTTAATTTAAAGTCTTAATTACCCAGTATAAACAATAGGTAAATTAACAGTCTTAATTACCCAGTATAAATAATACGTTATTTAACAGTATTAATTAACCAGTATAAATAATACGTTAATTTAAAGTCTTAATTGCCCAATATAAACATTAGGGGAATCAACAGTTTTAATTATCCAATATGAATAAAAAGTTAATTAACAGTCTTAATTATCCAATATAAATAATACGTTAATTAACAGTCTTAATTACCCAGTATTGTGCGAAACAGTTGACCTCCATTGTTTGAACCATCTGCCTGTCGTCTGCCTCCACCACACGCTTCCCAAACACCACGCCAGCGTTGTTAATCAGGATATCCACCTGACCCACCTCCCTGCACACCTGCACAGTTCAAGATTTTATCAACGGCCACCTGACCCACCTCCCTGCACACCTGCACAGTTCAAGACCTACAACATCAACCCATATTCCACCCACAACATCAACCAAAATCACACCCACAACATCAACCAAAATCCCATCCAACTTATCAACCAAAATCCCACCTTCCCTATTACCCAAATCCCACCAACAACCTCAACCCAAATCCCACCAACAACATCAACCCAAATCCCACCAACAACATCAATCCAAATCCCACCAACAACATCAACCCAAATCCCACCAACAACATCAACCCAAATCCCACCAACAACATCAACCCAAATCCCACCAACAACATCAATCCAAATCCCACCAACAACATCAACCCAAATCCCATCAACAACATCAATCCAAATCCCACCCGCCACATCATCCCAAATCCCACCTACCCTATTACTCAAATCCCATCGACCACATCAACCCAAATCCCACCTACCCTATTACTAAAATCCCATCGACCACATCAACCCAAATCCCACCCATCACATCAACCCAAATCCCACCTACTTTATGAACCCAATCCCACCAACCACATCAACCCAAATCCCACCCACCACATCAACTCAAATCCCACCCAGCGCATTAACCCAAAATCCCACCTACCCTATCCACAGACTTGTATATCTCCTCCCTATCCGTCAGATCGACACAGTAGGCGTAGACTGGCACATCGTACTTAGACCTAATCTGCTCCATCACTTTGTCGTTCAACTTTTGGTTGACATCCCACAGCACAACCCGGCAACCCATCTTGGCCAGGTTGTCAGCAAGCAAGCTGCCCACCCCTCCCGCTGTGGACAGAGATGGTGACGTCAGAGGACAAAACCTCAACCTTCTAGAGTTGTGGGACCTGGCTTAAACCACCAGAGTTTTGGGACCTGACTTAAACCACCAGTTGTGGGACCTGACTTAAACCACAAGTTGTGGGACCTGGCTTAAACCACCAGAGTTGTGGGACCTGGCTTAAGCCACCAGAGTTGTGGGACCTGGCTTAAGCCACCAGAGTTTTGGGACCTGACTTAAACCACCAGTTGTGGGACCTGGCTTAAGCCACCAGAGTTGTGGGACCTGGCTTAAGCCACCAGAGTTGTGGGACCTGGCTTAAGCCACCAGAGTTTTGGGACCTGACTTAAACCACCAGTTGTGGGACCTGGCTTAAGCCACCAGAGTTGTGGGACCTGACTTAAACCACCAGTTGTGGGACCTGGCTTAAGCCACCAGAGTTGTGGGACCTGGCTTAAACCACCAGAGTTGTGGGACCTGGCTTAAGCCACCAGAGTTGTGGGACCTGGCTTAAGCCACCAGAGTTTTGGGACCTGACTTAAGCCACCAGAGTTGTGGGACCTGGCTTAAACCACCAGAGTTGTGGGACCTGTCTTAAACCAACAGAGTTGTGGGACCTGGCTTAAGCCACCAGAGTTGTGGGACCTGACTTAAACCACCAGAGTTGTGGGACCTGACTTAAACCACCAGAGTTGTGGGACCTGGCTTAAACCACCAGAGTTGTGGGACCTGGTTTAAACCACCAGAGTTGTCGGAAACTGGATTAACTGTCGGAAACTGAGGATTAACTGTCGGAAACTGTGGATTAACTGTCGGAAACCGTGGATTAACTGTCGGAAACCGTGGATTAACTGTCGGAAACCGTGGATTAACTGTTGTAAACCGTGGATTAACTGTCGGAAACCGTGGATTAACTGTCGGAAACTGTGGATTAACTGTCGGAAACCGTGGATTAACTGTCGGAAACCGTGGGCAAGTTGCCAGAAGCAGTAGACCAGCATCCACGGATCAAAAATATAACTAAAGCAAACACCGCGAATACGAATGCCCCACACTTATAGGCGTGGCATGACTGTTAATCCTACCCCCTAGCCCACAACCCCTACCCCACCCCCCTAGCCCACAACCCCTACCCCACCCCCCTAGCCCACCATCCCTACCCCACCAACCCTGGCCCGCGGTTCCCAGAAAAAATTGCAGCAGGAAATCTGCGAAAACAGAAAGATGCGTAAGTGCAAACTAATTATGCTAATACACTTTAATTTTGTCATATTTCGTGGAAAAATGCTTTATTATGCTACAATGTACTTGCAGTCACTCTTTGTTAATGTCTATAAACGCTCGTTTTAAGACAACAAAAAAACGCCATTGCGCACTTTTTTGTGTGAGTGGTTTTCCATTACGCATTTTTCCTAAGCGCAATGTTCTGGTTACACCAGCCAGTGTATTAATATATCCAATTGGACGTCTGACTTGTCAATTATGTTAATTAGTGTTTAACCAATCCAAGCTATAAGATTGAATATCCCAACAGAACGCCCCGACAGTTGTCAAAGTTAATTAGGGTATCGTTGATATCCGCGCTAATTCCATCAGGTTACATTTTTAATTATGCTAATTTTATGTTTGCTAAAGGAAGTTTTACATGGAGTGTGGGGGAGGTGATAGTATGTGCGGGGGAGGTGGTAGTATGTGTGGGGGAGGTGGTAGTATGTGTGGGGGAGGTGGTAGTATGTGTGGGGGAGGTGGTAGTATGTGTGGGGGAGGTGGAAGTATGTGTGGCGGAGGATTGTAAATGAGGGAAGAGTGTGTGTGTGTAAGATTTAGTATGTATTGGCAATGAGTATTATGTGTGGGGGAGGGGTTAATGTTTGAGTGGAGGAGTAAGCGTGTATGTGTGTGTGTGTGTGGAAGGTGGGTGTGTGGGTGTGGGGTATAGGCTATGTGTGGGGTGGTTGTATATGTGACGTATAATACAATGATACGTTTTTATGCGAGATAGGGCACTAAACAACATCTCTAATAGGCGACTGCTTGTGGGGCGTTAACGACATTGACATCTAAACCACTGACATTTAAGCCACTGACATCTGAGCCATTGACATCTGAGCCATTGACATCTGAGCCATTGACATCTGAGCCATTGACATCTGAGCCATTGACATCTGATAAAACTGACATCTGATAAAACTGACATCTGAGCCATTGACATCTAAACCATTGACATATGAGCCATTAACATCTAAACCATTGACATCTGAGCCATTGACATCTAAGCCATTGACATCTGAGCCATTGACATCTAAACCATTGACATCTGAGCCATTGACATCTGAGCCATTGACATCTGAGCCATTGACATCTGAGCCATTGACATCTAAACCATTGACATCTGAGCCATTGACATCTAAACCATTTACATCTGAGCCATTGACATCTGAGCCATTGACATCTGAGCCATTGACATCTGAGCCATTGACAAATGGGCGGTTGTGTAACAGGGAATTGCCGTTCTCAGCAATTACCAGCTTTGAGATATTTTGCAAATGTTCGATTTGTCAATTATCTATCTATCTATATACTACTAAAAGTCAAGTTTGTTTACATGTTTGAATATTTATTTTTTTGTTTGTTTGTTTGTTTGCCTGATTGACTATTGCTCATGGTTGCACTCATCGTGGAAAGCTGTAAAATAGTATGTAAGTAGAGAAAAAATTTTGTTTTAAGACAGACTGTTAATCACACATTTATTTAAAGACGTTAATTAATTTATTGATTTATTCATACGCAGAGTAACCCATTTTTTTTAAAAAGATTAAAACGACCACTACACTCGGCGGGACCGTGACGTCACAGGTTTTTGTTTACTCTTTAGTACAATAAAATGGCGGCGTCTATCGAAGAAAATTGTGTTCCCATTCACAAGTTTAACGCGTTCTAAATCTAATTTTCTGTCGGTCATAACTTTAACAATACGTCCGTTTGCTGTATTTATTACGTTCCAACACTTATATCAATTTTAAACTGTCTTTTTTCATTTAGTTTTACAATAAATTTCTCTAGATCTAAAGATCAGCTGTCGAAGGAAAGTTATGAATCTAGCCTAGATCTAGGTCACTAGACTCAATGTAAATTCTAGATCTAGACTTAATGTAAATTCTACATCTAGAATCTATTTCAGGCCTTAATACATCTAGAATCTATTTCAGACCTTAATTATTTTATATAAATCTTTGTTTGGCTAATTTAAGATAAAATTTAATTTGAAAGTTACTAGATTCTACTACTAGACTTAGATCTAGATCTATGCGCGGAGACTCAAAAGTATAGTACAAAAATTCATTTGTGACGTCACGAGTAAATAGCTAAGTTTGTAGCGTAGTCCGCTCTCATGCGGGTGGTACAGGTTCTAGACCAATATGTCAATGAAATTTTTTTTCAATTTTTTTTTTTTTAGATGTGAATGATAAAGTTGCCTATCTGAACTTGGCAGGATACAGGGCAGGTGAAGTAGAGTTCATCTGTTTCTTTGTCCTAAGCATATGAAAGGATAGTGTGGTCAGAGACATGCTCGACTGGAAACGTTTTTTAAACGATAAAAACATGTTGTCTGAGACTTGGCGGGACACTGGGCAGGTGAAGTAGAGTTGAGTAGGTCACATGTGACGTCAGTATATGAAGGGATAGTCCGAAATCGGTGTTTTCGGTGTTTTTAAAAGATAAGAAACATATTTTTGAATGTGGGGTCTGTTTTTGTGACGATAAGTGACACTGCAGTAGCGTAGCGAGGAGGGGGGGGGGGACGGTAGGGGAGGGGAGGCGGGGGGGGGGGGGGAGGGGAGGCGGGGGGGGGGAAGGGGAGGTGGGGGTGGGCGGGGGGGGGACATATGTTGGGGCGCCAAAATGGTTTGGAAAAATAAATTGAAAGGTTGAGGGGGGTTCAAATCGAAAGTTTGAGTGGGGGGGGGGGGGGGGTTGCACATCAAAAGTTTGAGGGGGGGGGGTTGAAAATCGAAATCTTGGGGGGGGGGGGGGGGTTAAAATCGAAAAGTTTGTCCCCGGGCGCCGGGAAGGCTCGCTATGCCTCTGAGTGACAGACGTGATGTTTTTTGATGGATGACCCCCGAAACCCACAGTTATCCAACGGATGACGGGTATTCTAGTATACTACTAAAAGTCAAGTTTGTTTACATGTTTGAATATTTATTTGTTTTTTTGTTTGTTTGTTTGTTTGCCTGATTGACTATCTCGCATGGTTGCACTCATCGTGGAAAGCTGTAAAATAGTATGTAGGTAGAGAAAATTTTTTGTTTTAAGACAGACTGTTAATCACACATTTATTTAAAGACGTTAATTAATTTATTGATTTATTCATTGTTAAATTAACCGTATTTTTTTTAAAATGTTAATACTTTGAATAAACTTTGTGGGGATAGTGACGTCCCTTGATGTGTTTACTTTTTTGGTACAATAAAAATGGCGGACTCCATCATAGACTTTGTGGCCCATTCAAAAGTTTAACGCGTTACAAAGCTAATTTTCTGCCGGCTATAACTTAAACAATACGTCCGTTTGCTGTATTTATTACGTTCCAACACTTATATCAATTTTCAACTGTCTTTTTCATTTAGTTTTACGATAAATTTCTCTAGATCTAAAGATCAGCTGTCGAAGGAAAGTTATGAAGCTAGCCTAGATCTAGATCTATCTAGATCTAGCCTAGATGTAGGTCACTAGACTCAATGTAAATTCTAGATCTAGACTTAATGTAAATTCTACATCTAGAATCTATTTCAGGCCTTAATTATTTTGTATAAATCTTTGTTTGGCTAATTTAAGATAAAATTTAATTTGAAAGTTACTACTACTAGACTTAGATCTAGATCTATGCGCGGAGACTCAAAAGTATAGGATAAAAATTCACTTGTGACGTCACGAGTAAATAGCTAAGCTGGTAGCGTAGTCGGCTCTCATGCAGGTGTCACGGGTTCTAGACCAATATGTCGATGACATTTTTTTTTTTCAATTTTTTTTTTTCAATTTTTTTTTTTTTTTTTTAAAAAAAAGTCAAGTTTGTTTACATGTTTGAATATTTATTTGTTTTTTTTGTTTGTTTGTTTGTTTGCCTGATTGACTATCATGACTATCATTGACTATGGATGACCCCCGAAACCCACAGTTATCCAACGGATGACGGGTATTCTAGTTTACAATTAGATTTGTACAGAGCTGGTAGCTTAATACCTTATTGCTTGGGAAGATGGCTGAGGGTAAGATGGGCGATGGTAATGTGGGCGATGGTAAGGTGGGCGATGGTAAGGTGGGCGATGGTAAGGTGGGCGATGGTAAGGTGGGCGATGGTAAGGTGGGCGATGGTAGGTTGGGCGATGTTAAGTTGGGCGCTGGTGGGTTGGGCGATGGTAACTTGAGCGATAGTAAGTTGGGCGATAGTAAGTTGGGCGATGTTAAGTTGGGCGATGGTAAGGTGGGCGATGGTAAGGTGGGCGATGGTAAGGTGGGCGATGGTAAGGTGGGCGATGATAAGGTGGGCGATGGTAGGTTGGGCGATGGTGAACTGTATGACAATGGTTGAGTACACAAAAGCTGATCTCACCTGCGCCGGTGATGAGCACTGTTTTGCCGTGAATGTCTTTAGCGATCCACCTGGTTGGAACAAAAGCCAGGACGATCCCCTGCAGCCAGTAGAACAAGACCTTCACCAGGAACTGGACACACTCCACAGCTATGGACATCGTAGCTGGAGGTACAACGTCTTAGAGATAATGGGAGTGGGGGAGTGGGGAGGTGGGGAGTGGGGAGGTGGGGTAGTGAGGTGGAGGAGTGGAAAGGTGGGGAGGTGGGGTAGTGGGGAGTTGGGGAGGTGGGGTAATGGGGAAGTGGGGTAGTGGGGAGGTGGGGTAGTGGGGAGGTGGGGTAGTAGTGGGGGGGGGTTAGTAGTGGGGTGGGGAGGTGGGGTAGTAGTGGGGCGGTGTGGTCGTTGTGAGTTGTGACAGCCATTGAACCATCAGATTACAATTGACGTCCAAGATCTGACAGAACATCAGACTCAATATGCCGAGATCAAACTTCTGGTTTTCTTACATACACGAGTATTGATCGTCTGCTCATGGTTTTAACAACATTAACACCACAAGGTACAGGGGGAGTTCCCTAATTAGATTGGTGCCATTAATGAGTGCCATTTAGATTGTCATTAATTATTCATGCGCATTTCACATGCAATAAGGTGCCCATTTCACAATCTTGTAAAGCGTAACATCACTCATTTATACCATATTCCTGATTGGTTTTATTCAGTTATTTAACTAAAAAAATATAATTTAATTTATTGGGATGGCCCATTAAAAAACAACGAATAACGTAAAATAAGGCGAGATGTGTTAGACAGAAATTGTAAATATTTGGGCAGATTCAATTTGATGAGGATACAAGAGAAGTACGGCAGTAAGTACAGATACATGTTCATTGGTTCTAGAATGGGATTGAATAGTCTATGTAATCATACTAATTTTTAAAAAATCTTTTAAAAAATATTGCAATCGATAAAATTATATTCACGTTTGTAAAAACAAATTAAAGCCGTTTGGGAAAACATAAATTACACTCATTTCGTATTTTTATATTGAATATAAGCCGTTGAAAAACAGTTTAAAAAGTTAGTTTAGAATTATTTTATCAATTCAAAAATAAAAAAAATAAAAACACTCCTCAAACCCTCCTTAAAGTCATCCTGAATGGCCAGGGAGAGTAAAACAATGAAAGGCACAACAATTATTTTCCATGAAAAAATTCACAATAGTGGTCAATATTGTCTAGCCTAGTATTGTATTTATATTAAATAATATAACACCACAACACTCTGACTCTACTAATAAAAATTATAAATAAGTGCTAAATTACTATAATATCACTAGTAATTATTGGTTTTGGGTATTTCTGGCCCTAATAAAACCGGAAATCATTTTGTAATTACACAAGTGTTATAAAATATTCAGTTTTGGTTGAAAAAATATGCTTTCTGGCAACAACCATTTGGAACCAGCTTTTCAGTCTATTTGATCGTGGATTTCTGTAAATCCCACTGTTTAGTGAAAACTTTTCCTATTCCTATTTTTAATTATTTTGAAGATCGGTCATTTGTTTATATTTTCCATGAGAATTTAGTTTGGTTACTGAAAATAGTAAAATCATCAAATACGTGAAATCTTGAGAAAAGTCATATAAAAACAACATACGTTTTTACATCATTTGTTTCATAACATTGTACACGATTATAATTTTTAAATTATTCAAAGCTCATATCGGCGGTAACCATTAAAAACACATAAATCCATATTTAGATCTAGATTTAGTAGCCTAACTTTATTTCAACAGTTACAGTTGTAAGACTTACCACTATAACGCGGCATTTTACTGTCATGAAATTATGAAATATTTTGATTTTAATAAAAATTCGCAAAATTCATAGTTCTCGATTTCTTTAGTGCAAAATAGATCTAGATCTTGCTCAATTTTTGTAACGGTTGTATCCGAGAAGTGAACACTCCAACCAGGATGGGTTATCGGCCGAGTAACACACACCAACACCAAAACAAACACAGCAAACGATGTGTAACGAATGTTGAATTCTCTAACACTCTAACACGACATCACTTCCACAACGGCCGTGTAATGGTCAACATTGGCTGTGTAACAAGCGTGTGTACACACAACTGAGTTGTAGCACATCAACACGTCTCGTCTAAAGCACACTGTGTTATCTCAAGAGCGAGTTTGTTATTCTATGGCTAGCAGACGGGTAATTTAGGTCACGAGGCTTACCTATTGTTTTATCTTGTGATGTAAGATAAAACTGTACACTATAGTGCAGTAAACGAAAGTAAGCATATACACTGTTGTAATATAAACGCAACACGATTGTTCAAACAAATGCAGGCTAAGAAACTCAGCAGTCCAAACTAAAACAGGCTAAAAACACGATAGTTAACAATTGCTCGTAGATCTAGTTGGGAACCTACAACAGCTCATTCGACATGAATCGGATGACTGTTGAATGTTACCCCCAATACTCTGTTTACATTAGGGAAATAACACTTAGGGTTAGATATCAGGATTGGGTGCCGCTAACTGTTTTGTCGCTTTTAGAAATGAATACGCGTCGATCAACGGTTGGGTGAATAATTTTTAATCAGGGGTGAACGAAGTTAGGGGTCATGCTTGTACACTTGTGGAATAGGGGCGAATATGGTAAGAAACATGGGGGTCAAACGTGCAGGAAGCGTCATCGCCACCTACACTACACGGTCAAGTAACAATCTGGATGGTCGTCAGACCGCTGTGACAGCGGATTCAGAAAGGGTTTAACAATTTAATTTAAAAAATATACAAGGTTAAAGGTTTTCTAAGGCCTACAGGTTAAAGGTTTTCTAAAGCCTACAGGGGTTAAAGTTTTCCAAAAAACAAAATGGGCTAAAGTTTACGGTTGTACAGGAAAAATGAACTTTTTACAGAAAGCATATGACGGTTACCCCAGTCCCCCCCCCCCTTTACGCCCCTCCCATTTGTGATTGGCCATGTTTAAACACAAGTTAAAACAAGGAAATTTAACCACACCCCTTAAAGTTAAAGGATAGTCATGTTGCTTTTTATAACCGTGTTGTACATCTCTACAGATCTAAATGACTTGATTGTCTTGACCTGATTACACCGTCCTACCCACTTCTGATTGGTAGTCTCAAGTGGTCGTGTGTTGTCTTAGGAGTCATACGTGACTTCATGCGTTTTTCTACCCGGTATTAACACCCCCACCCCATCCACACCCCATCCACACCCCATCCACACCCCATCAACTGTCACACATCGTCATCAAAGGTGAGACCCCCAAATTTTCCGAGCGCTTATTCTTACTCATAACATACACACTTACACACACACGCTTACACACAGTTACACACAACACATACAAACACTCTATACACACTCAACACACACAACACACATACTTACGTACACACACACCACACACACACACTCATATATATATATATATATATATATATATATATATATATATATATATATATATATATATATATATGAGTATTTGTATGGGATAGAAAGAGAGAGACTAATGTATGCCTATGTGGAATTATAATATCGATTGATATAATGGATAAATGTATACATGTCAACTGATATACAGACGTGTCACGATGTCGTTTATATTGAACCAATCAGATCTCTGTAGGGTGGTAGTTGACTGGTGCATGCTGGTCTATCTGAGCCGCTGAGTTTAGCTCTGTCTCAGCTAGTCTATCTGAGCCGCTGAGTTTAGCTCTGTCTCAGCTAGTCTATCAGAGATGCTGAGTTTAGCTCTGTCAGCTCATCTATCATAGCCGCTGTTTAGCTCTGTCTTAGCTCATCTATCAGAGCCGATGTTTAGCTCTGTCTTAGCTCATCTATAAGAGCCGCTGTTTAGCTCTGTCTTAGCTCATCTATCAGAGCCGCTGTTTAGCTCTGTCTTAGCTCATCTATCAGAGCCGCTGAGTTTAACCCTGTAGTTGAGCTGTCCGATGTCCAAATTCTAGAAGAATTTGCAATTTCTTTTGATAAACTCAGTAACAAAATATTATATTTGCTTTTCGAAAATATTTTTTGAAAACAATCAAGGGAAATAACTGTATGAAAAGGAAAATATTGAGTTGTATTCCTTGGTTTAATTATATTATTTGTAAGAAAATAAAAATGAAACTTTTTGGTTGAAAAGCTTTTTTGGTAAATATTTGACAGTCTGAATAAACATGTAAAAAATTCTCAATATTTCAAGAAAGAAAAAGTGAAAACAAATTAAAATTATTTTAAATCATAAAAATCATTTACATGAAGCTTGCGTGTTCAGGTTTGTGTATAAGCTTTAATCACTGCGACATGGTGTCACCCCAACCCCCTTGTAATAATTGTCGATTTGTACTTAAAAGACAATTAAACTTTAATTAATCATTAATGAAACTGGTAAAAAAAAAGCTTTTTTTTGGGTACATTTTGCAATTTTTGCCTTGGTGTCACCCCCTAAATGGTGTCACCCGGTGCGGCCCGCATCCCCCGCTACGCTTCTAGCAATGTACTCACATTGATGAACATTTTCACAGGTAGAGCAACACAGGTTAATTAAATAATTAAAAAAATAATTTGTAAACCGGGGTCAGTATGTTGCTTGGGCAGAGTCAGTAACGTTCGTCCTGTAAAATCATACTTCGATTGCTTGCACCGTCCATCATGTCTACTAGCCCCCGTCCAACAAACTTGTCCAACAAAAATGATGTCTACTAGCCCCCGTCCAACAAACTTGTCCAACAAAAATGATGTCTACTAGCCCCCGTCCAACAAACTTGTCCAACAAAAATGATGTCTACTAGCGCCCGGTCCAACAAACTTGTCCAACAAAAATGATGTCTACTAGCGCCCGGTCCAACAAACTTGTCCAACAAAAATGATGTCTACTAGCGCCCGGTCCAACAAACTTGTCCAACAAAAATGATGTCTACTAGCGCCCGGTCCAACAAAAATGATGTAGTGATATCGAACTGCCTGTACAACCTGTACAACCTGTACAACCTGTACAACCTGTACAACCTGTACAACCTTTACATCATCACCTGGACTTTGATGAGAATCAATCTGAGTGGAAATGACATCAGATATTATTTTAAGCCATTTAAAAAACCATTTTACAGGAATGGAATGTCAGTAAACACTACTACAACAGCAACACATTTAATTTAGTAACGTATTTACAAGTTTGAATATTTAAATCGAAAACGAATGCATTTATTATTTGTAGATGTTTTTAGTTCAAATTTTGTATTAAAATCTGGAGTTTTTATCATATATTAAGATCAAATTTTAAGATATAAACAAAAAAAAACATGAGGGACGGAGTGGTCTAGTGGTAGAGAGCTAGACTGCTAACCCGTAAGTCTCGAGTTCGAATCCGGGTTCAAGTCAGTAGACCGTCCCTGAGTCCACTCAACTCTGATGGGTACCTAACTCCCGTTAGGGAAAGTAAAGACTGCTGGGCATAGTGCTGACCATACTATCTCTTCATATTCCGAGGTCACAGAAACAGGTGAACTCTACTGCACTTGCCCCATAAACCGTCAGGTTTGAAAAGGGAACTTTACTTACTTACTTAAAAAAACATGGGTCGGCGTGGGTTACCCGACAGCTAACCCTCGATGCGCCTTTGTCTCACAATATGGAAAGGAAAGACGGCTGGGCATAGTGCTGACCAACCTTTCCTTTCATATGCCAAGGTCAATGAAACAGGTGAACTCTACCTTACCATTTTAAAATACTTGTTTTTAAACACAAAACACAATCAACATTGAGGGTAGGAAACATTTGGTCGTCTGGGCAGAGGCGTAGCGAGGGGGGGGGGACATATGTCCCCGGGCGCCGACCTTAGGGGGGGCGCCAAATTGAAAGTTTGAGGGGGGGGGGTGCAGATGAAAAGTTCGAGGTGGTGGGGGGGGGGTGCAAATGAAAAGTTCGAGGGGGGTGCAAATCGAAAATTTGCTCCCGAGGGGGGCGCCAAATTGAAAGTATGTCCCCGGGCGCCGGGAAGGGTCGCTACGCCTCTGCATCTGGGGAGAGATGGTGTCAACAATGTGTCAATGCCATCAACACATAGCACTGGAAATATCTAGAAACGGCGGTGGTTAAAAGAGGTTCGATCCCCATGGATTTGTGGGGGCAAGGGGGGGGGGGCAGTTCAGTCATAGCGTCAACATCAGAGTTTACTGACAAAGTTGCTACTGTATCGCTAGATAATGATTAGTGTGTTTGTGTTTTACTGAGGTCGTGGTCGATGCGTTCACGGGAAGTCAATGACGGGGAGATAACTCGCGTGTCTGTTGTTAGTTGCTAAGTTGTAATTATTGACCTAAACAAATCTCACAGGACCGAACACTAGCTCTAAGCCTGAACCACCCGCTACCACGCTTATCAGAATAACCAAAGGTCGAGGACAATGGGATTTACCTCGACAGTTGACCTGCATGAGTGTCTCTCTCCGAACATCCGGGCAACCAAGCAAAGATTTTCCTATCACGATTCCAGCGTTTTTAACCAGGATGTCAACATCACCAACATCAGCTTTCACCTGTAGGTAACGTACATCACACATCATGATGTCAACATCACAAACATCAGCTTTCACCTGTAGGGAACATACATCACACATCGTGATGATATCAACATCACCAACATCAGCTTTCACCTGTAGGGAACATACATCACACATCGTGATGATATCAACATCACCAACATCAGCTTTCACCTGTAGGGAACATACATCACAAATCATAATGATGTCAACATCACCAACATAAGCTTTCACCTTTATGGAACTTACATCAAACATCATGATGTCAATATCACTAACATCAGCTTTCACCTGTAGGGAACATACATCACACATCATGATGATATCAACATCACCAACATCAGCTTTCACCTGTAGGGAACATACATCACACATCATGATGATATCAACATCACCAACATCAGCTTTCACCTGTAGGGAACGTACATCAAACATCATGATGATATGTCAACATCACTAACATCAGCTTTCACCTGTAGGGAACGTACATCAAATATCATGATGATATGTCAACATCACTAACATCAGCTTTCACCTGTAGGGAACATACATCACAAATCATAATGATGTCAACATCACCAACATCAGCTTTCACCTTTATGGAACT